AGCGATCGCTTCAAACTCCAGAGCGTTATCCACTAAACCACCGAGCCACGATAGCCACTAACTATACCAGTCGCACAAGAAATGGCTATCGTGGCTCGGTGGTTCAGTGGATAACGCTCTGGCGTTTGAAGCGATCGCTTCCGAGTTCGAGTCCCAGTTGGAACAACATCACTCACTTGGAGGCAGGTTCATCCAGCTGACGAGTCCCAAACAGGAAGAAATGGGCAACCAGGATTCCACTGCTAGCCAAGATCCATCAATAATATAACTAGAACGCAGCAATACCGAGGCATCCACACAGGAATCCATATACCAATAGACACCGATCAATTCAGTCCAATCAGTGACGGTGCAATGCAAGCAATAACATCAAGATTTGACTGAATACTTCGTGTCAAACATGTAAATCCCAGGATCAACTATTGAAACTTTGAACTAGTTATACTTTTTTGACCAAATTTATCACATCCACTTATTTCACTCATCCAAATATATCTTCAAATCGTGTTTTATCCTCTTAGGCACTTTTTAAATGTTTTCAGCCTACAGTTTTACAAGGTAACAAGTAAAGTAAAAAAAAACAACGTCAATTTAGGTAGTGGTTGACTTTAAAACTTACCATGGTACATCACATAACTATTCTTGAAATAGTTACCTGGAATTACAGATTCGTTTATTGGTCAAATGAACAACCATCACACTTTCCTATTCCTTCTCTCCTCTGAAGTAAACGATAACCTAAAAACACCTGGTGATATTATTATCAAGCACTACATTGTTACTACTGAAATTACTTAAATAGTATGTGACCGTTTTAGCCTGTTTATTAGATGTTTTACACTGTGAAACAGTATTACTTACTGGATAAGGTTTCGAACATTACTTATTGTCAATATTCCTATCATATATGAATATGTGCTGCTAGGAGAATGACTGACATTATCTTTGCATACTACCATATAATAGTTCTCCAGTATCATGGAGATGTTTAGTGCTGATATAAGGTTGTTTCAGGGCATTATTTGTGAACCTCTGATATATAAAGCCTAACCTCAGTGGAAGTATTGCCTTTAACTGACATCAACATCTAAACAAGAGACTAAATTAACCTTCTTCAAATTTAGATAATGTGATTAGAAGACGTAGATTATCTGAAAAATGTGATGTATTAACGCTATACATTTTGAACAATCTGATCACAACACATTAACTTGTTAAGGTAGTATTATACATGAAAACTGGAAGTGGGGGAAAGACAAACACAACATAAAGAAATTCAGTAGTAAGAAAGATAATAGAAGGAAAAACAATGAAAAAAGCTAAGATTTGAAGACAATCTTGATAATACGATAAAATAAGCATTACTAAAGTAGGCTTAACGTAAAGACAAACTGTTTTTGCACACACAATGTGGGGTTAAATTTGCTGATGACTAGCGCCCCAACAAACTTAAGCATACGCCCCTGACAGTTTCTATACAAAATTGTAAAGGCTGTTTAAATATCAATCCTGTGATTATTATCAATGATATGTTTTGCAATAAATGATGACGGTTGTCTGCCATCTGCGGTTATCGATTTTTGTGAGTCCAGCTGCTTTTGTAGTCATTTTGAAACATGTTCCACTGCCCTCAAGTGCATATCATGATCAGTTCTCCCTATGTATGTTTGTACACACACACACACACACACATGTAAATTTATAAACGCAGTGAGATGTGACGCAATCGCTTATACAGCGTTGAGGTCTAGGTTGCATTAGGTGTTTGGTCTACTCAACTATGATAAGCTTAGTTACATAGCACGTGTTGCTGACAGCAGACAACATCCGTTAGATTCCCCTCGGTATAGTAACGTGATGTAAATGCATTTCTTCGAAACAGAGTACAGATTAGGCTTAAATCCTCGCTGGCTTTTGCAGGGGTTTATGAACTTCAAATTTTCATGCTTATTGGGTTGACTAAAGAAGGTGCATTACTTGTATTTTGCAAAGATGGTATGAAATGAAAGATTTCATAGCTTTTGAGAACTTTTCAAATACTTACAATATAAACTGACAAACTGTTATTGATTGCCTAAGTTTCGACAATATCGAAGGTCGAAATTGAATTCACTTCCTCCGATATCCTAAAACAAAACAATTCAAAAGAAACGTCGTAAGGAACCCATGTCTTTTTCCAAAATCGAATTGTTGCTTACCAGTGCTATTATTGTCATTATTATTATTTATCACTTCGAAACCTACTGGAACATACGGCTTCAGTAGCACATCTCCATTACTCTCTCCTCTCCGAAATCTTTTCAACCTGGCTCCATCACTGCCCACAAACTCTCATTCCTTCCTTACACCATCTCTTCCATGTCACACTCACCTCCGATGCCCAACTCATCGTTTCACATCTCGACTCCACTCGACCGATTGGCCTGGTGCATGAAGCCCCCGAATATTCTTCTCACTGTATGCCCAATCCATCTCCATTTCATTCTGCATATTTGTTGAGTAATAGGTTGTTGGCTGGTTCATTCCCAGAGTTCCTTATTGCTTATTCTCATTGTTCTGGCCATCTGATCTCATCTTCAGTATCGAGTGATCGTGGGTGGCAGTTGTTGATGAGTATCTGTAGTTTGTTCGAAATGCCTTTCGTTAGGTGCAAAGATTCTGAAGCACTGATTTGACTGACATTAGTGTTGAAGATCTGGACGTTGTTCACGCTTTGTGCTGAGTGTAGAATATCTCCATGCTGGTTTCAGGTTGATGAGTGCCTGTCTTGCTGTCTTTTCGATCCACGCTTCGATGTCCTCATCTGTGCCGCTACCTATATTTGAAACAGTGCTGATTGAGTAGGTGGAAGAGACCATTCCGTTTAACTTTCCCCCGTTGATGGTGATGGATGCTTGTTGTTGTTGTTGGTGGTGGTGGTGGTATTGGTTAGGTCTCATCATCACCTCTGTCTTCTCTACCTTCACTTGCTGTCGCGTCTTGCTGCCTCACCTCTTCTACCAACTTGTTGGATTTTGCCTGTACATCTTCAAGTTTGTGTGACATCAGACATAAGTCATCATCGTTGGTGGAATGCAAATCTTCTAGGGTCTTTTCCCTGGTTCATCCAGTGTGTTTTCCCCTTCACGCTGCTCACAGTTTGTTTCATTATCCATTCTACCGGAATGCGAAATATCATGTGTGATAGTAGACAGCCTTGTCTTACTCCTGTCTTCACTTCAAAAACATTACTGAGCTTTCCATCATGGATCATTTGGCGTGTGTCGTCTTCGTATAGTTGTTGAATGAGGTTGATAAATGTTGTGTTGTATTCCGTAGTGTTGATGAAACTGCCTGTCAAATTGCTTCTTGGTAGACGCTTTCGAAAGCCTTTTCAAAGTCGATGAATTTGAGGTATAGTTGAGTTGACTGCTGTTCTATACTCTGTTCTATGATGATGCACAGCGTAGCATTTGAATTTGGTCCGCACAGGATTTGCACCTGCTGAATCCAGCCAATCTGTTCCGGTCCTAATTTCGAATCCAGTGCATCCTTTAGCCTCTCCAGGGTGATGCGGCTTAATATTTTGCTTGTTTTGGGTGAACTTCAGCATGATTTCGCGCCAGTGCTATAACCAGTTATCATGAAGTTGTAAGTTGGACATGTGTTGCTCATGATGAGCTATCACCTACCCTGACGTACCATGTTACTTGAAGTTGGATTAGGTTGGAAGAGAGTTCAGGGCTCCAAAACTAAAACATGAAACTAATCGATAAAGTCTTTGACTGTCGATCTGAGCCATGTAAAGGAATACAGAGTATCTGGAGAGGGTTCCTGAAAAGATGGGAACCATTGGTTGAGTATTCTCGGTAACATGGCTGAAAAACGGCCACATGAGCACAGATGTATTCACTCCTTGACGTCTAAAGCTTGAAAATTTGCGCTAAGCGTTATGTTCAAACCGTTTTTCTCTCAAACGACCTTGTGTACTGCTGTGAAATGTGACAACTCGGAGCGATTTACTTATGTGAGAAGTTTGACGTCGATTTTATAGATCTGTCTGTGATTATAAATGTGCAGAAGAAAGTGAAGACGGATTGGGCATACACTGAGAAGGTTAACTGGGGACATCACGCGTCAAGCTATGCCGTCGAGTGGAATCCAAATGGGAAACGATGGGTAGGGCGTCCCAGCCGAGGGTGATGTGGAGAAGTTGATGCGAGGAAGAAATGAAAGCTTATGGGCAGTCATGGCGTCAGGTTCGAAAGACTGTCGAGGACAGAGTGCAATGGAGGTGTACTGCTGAATTGGTTGTTCCACTAGGAACCCAGGGAACAAAGAATAATAATGATAATAATCTGTGATAATGTACAAGTAACCTGCAAATTTTCGAAGTGACGTATTCTTGATCATCAGTGGACTTTCTAACTACACTGATTCGTTTTATTTCCATAAAAATAAAGTGAAGACCGATTACTGAAACATTTTGAGTGGAGCTATTCTCTCATGCTCCTAGAAACCTATTGAACTGCCGCCAATAAATTACAAACTAAACTGAGTTGAAGTACATTATCTTATTGCGTAACACATGTCTCTGGATATACTTCCTTGGTTTGATCACACTACTGAGAAAATGTACTTTACAACAAGATACTTGGAGCTTTTGACTGAGATTTACATTATATTTTCCCATTACATTATGGTTTACACCTTCTTTTTTAGGGCTGATTACATAAAACAGTTGGAAACATGAGTTAAGTATCCACTAAAATAGCAGTCATAACATTCTACATTTGAAGTAAACACCTAATATTCTTTTTCGCTATACTGGACGGTTACATAAAATGAAACCATCTTGTTAAGTATCATTTATCAGCGTACAAGATTTTAGTTTTCCATGTGTATATCTAATCTCAGGTTTAAAGCTACCTCACATTAGCTGAGACTTAAATATACATGTCTCCAAATGTATTTCTTATCGGAATATACTCACTATAAGTTTTTTTACTTTGTGTATACAGGGTTTCGGATCACGAAGATTCAGTATCCAATTTATGGTAGGATATATACTTTCTGGGACTGTTGTAATGCTTGAAACTGTTTGTTCATTTCAATGTTGTGACTGCATGCATAACTATATGTTCTGTGTTATACAATTTATTGTTATTTTTGTCGAAATGGAATGTAGCATGTTATATAATTGTTTTAGCAGCTATATATATATATATATATATGTATATATATATATATATATATATATATATATATATAAAGTCGTCCTGTGTTATGTATTGAATAATGCTGAGTATGAGAGGGATTTATCAGCAGTTGTAAACTTTTACGAGTAGTCCTCTTGGTAATTTACTTTAGTTCTACCTATTGTATTTAAGCAACCTATGTGTAACTCACTGGATATTAAAATCTTTATGGACTCAAATGATACTTTAAAAGTAAAATAAATGAAGAGTATTCTGCATAAAACCGTGTGAGTAGAAACAAAGTCACAAATTGATTAATGCAGAAAAATATCGATTATTCAATTCCAACTAAGTGACTAGCTGTTTACATGCTCACCACAAGACTTGACTTTCCTGAACTCTTTCTGTCAAAGAGTCGTTGCTGCGTAACACTGAAACGTCTCAAATCAAGCCCACTCATCTTTTCAGTGTTATCAAGCCTTCATATGTTATCCAAACGATTTCATTCAGTAATGAAAACTAATTCGGTAGCAAATAATTTTTACAATGAAGTAAGTAGGTCAGTTGTTAGGTTCTCTCTCTCTACAAAAATGTGAAGAGACATTCAATAGAAATGCACTCAGCAACCTTGTGCACATTAATGAAGTAGGCAATGATCTACACCTTCTGTGTGAAGACCAATAATACTACCTGTCTGCACAAACCTTGATAGGTAGAGTGGGTTTCGAACCCTTGGCTTATTGGTTGAAAGCTATCTCTATAGAGAAATGAGTCACAGCTCCATACATGGTTAATTATCAAAATTAAGCAGTGAGTAACACCCAGGAAATTTCATATCATCCAACTTGCTGTAAGATTCATCTAAATGTTTGCAGCCATATATAACGAATCGTTTCCTTCGCAAGAAACGTTTATGTAGTAGGCTATAGTTTACTTTGTTGTGTTCATATTCCTAAATCTACTCAGAGTTAAGTCGTCTGCAGGCCCTAACGCGATAAACATTCGGTTAGCCATATCGTTTAGGAAACCATCTTAATCTTCACCGTTTTTTTCATCCGTCTTCATCTTGCATGTCCATCATAGTAAAAGTTATTATTCTCTATTTCTGTACAAATAAATGCATTTAGCCTCTGTTTGTATACTCTACACAACGAAGTCCTGTTAACTATAATCTAGGGTCTTTTACTTAAATGCTTTTTTTCATGTTTTCAAATTGAATCTAACCGTCAAAACTGAAACTGATTTGTATAGGTTAACATACTGGACAGTATAGTGTAACATAATTGAAAATTAGTACCTATATGAAGTTTCAATGTTTGACTTACTAATTTGGAATGAATTTGTCTAAAACTTATTTCCACATTACAGTGTAAACAGTATGATATTAGAATACACTTTCAATGCATTAGAAATTTGTTTAGACTAAATAAAAATTGAGAAAATTTTCAATACTAACATTGGTTGCTTTTTATAATTTTCAAGTGGGCATATTTTTCGACTAGAGTTTTTCTTCTTGTTCTGAGCATTATATAAATGTTGCTAATTTATCATTCCTTCTACAACTCCCTGATTTTAAAATGTTGTTCATTATTCCTATAGTCTTGTACAACTTTCCATGAATAGTTTATCAAGTATTGTGTCTTTTTAACACCATTACTAATATTCATTGAAGCTTTGGTTGATGATGATGATGATGGATGAGATTATACATCATGATGATGTTTAGTTTATGAAGTTTTAAACATTACATTGTAATAAAACCAAACTTAACATTTTTCTGTTGAATTTTTTCGCTAGGCTTACATTCACAATTGTATCTTATCTAACTGGAGTATTTGTATTCGCTACAATTGTAGGTAAGTAATGTTTTTGGTAGTTGGAGATCAATAATTTATTGTATTCGATGTGTTATACACCTATTCACAATTCGCCTTTTCTATATGATCACCTTGACTGTGTTTAAGTGTATCATTTTGTTGATTCACATATTGAATACTATTTCCAGAAGTACAAGAATTTTGACCCCTAATTACTGACTAGAGTTGTGTCCATTATGTGTAACTTAGAATATAAAGAAACATTTATAGATGACATATACTACGGAAATTATCAGTAGATCCCTATTGCCAGGCGATGTAGTACAGAATACAATACTAAGTTTAGGTCAGCGTTATTCGTGAATCAATAGGATAGGCTCCAAGTAGTTTAGACACTAGTACTATTTGAATACAACATAATGAATAAGCGACTAGCTTTTTCCATAGGAAAATATATCGAAGCTGAAATATAGCATTTACTAAGCGACATCCCAAAGGTGAACTTCGGTAGAGGAAGCATAAAATGAAACTCATTAGATATTGCCAGTGGCTAGAATGATGTTGTTAAAATGGTACTACTTATTGATTTATTATTATTATTTTTCCCTTGGGATCCTAGTGGAACAAAAGGCTGCAGTAGCACGTCTCCATTCCACTATCTTCTCTCCAGTCTTCTCATCCTAGCACAACGAATACCCACATTTCACTCCTTACTCACACACCACCTTCTCTATCTCACCCTCAACTTACACGCTCAACTCGTCGATTCCCCTTCGGATTCCACTCCATGGCCTCGCCCGACAAGTCATCTCCTCAATCACTCTTCTCAGTTTATGCACACTCAATTTCCATCTACACTTCCTCCTACTTATTTGTTGGTCAATAGGTTCTTGTTTGCTTCGTTCCCACAGTGACTTCCTTGTTGCTCATTCCCCTTTTTTCTGGCCATCTGATCTCATCTTCAGTATCGAGTGAGTGTAGATGGTAGTTGTTGATGAATGTTTGTAGTTTGTTGGAAATGCTTTTCGTGATACGCCAAGTCTCTTAACCATCACATAGCTGCACTGACTTGACTGAATTGGTGTTGAAAATCCGGATCTTGTTTCCACTTTATGCTGAACGGAGTAGATCTCCACACTGATTTCAGATGATTGGAAGCCTGTCTTGCTGTCTGTCTGATGCTGGTTTTGATATGTTCATGTGTACCTGTGTCGTCTGTAGTCGAAATGATGCTGCTTTGCCTAGGTAGGTGAAAGGGACTACTTCCTTTTCGGTTTCTCCTGTTAATGATGATTGGTTTCTCTTCTTGTTGATCCTGTTATTGGTTGGGTATCTTCATCACCTCTATCTTTTTTACATTCATTTGAAGTCCCGTCTTCGCTGACTCTTCTGTCAACTTGTTACTTTTCGCCTGTATATCTTAGAGTATGTACCACAAGACATTAGACATAAATCATTATGGGCGAAATCCAAATCTTCTCAGGTCTTCATTGGTCAGACAGCGTATGTACATCTTCTCGCTCCTCACGGATGACTGCTACATGATCCAGTCGACCACAATCAGGTAGATCATCGATGATAGTAGGCAAAATCTCTTTTAGGCAACCATATAAAAAGGATTTTCATTACTGTCCAAGGAGTTGACTACAAATGCTAATTGACATATTCAAGGAATCACGTATCAGCAAACAAGATCCTGAAGAACTAGTTGTTAAGACTTTTAGAACTGATAGTCTTTTCAGCTGACCCCTAGAATGTCTTCCTTAGGTAAACTGCGCCTTTGTATCACTTAAATATGCCAGTGCAAGTTGATTTACCTTTATGAATCTAGTCATAAAGGCAGTCTATCTAAGGACTTTTCAGTTCAGTATAATGTTTTTTTGTCATGAGACGAGAAAAAGAATCAGTAAGTTATCGAATGTCAAACCGTTTGATTATATTTCATCTATGAGCTACACTATGGCTGTTTTGATAGCAACCTGCTAATCTGAACTACATTTATCAAAAGGCATGTAATTTTGAAAACTATGCTTGAAAGATTCAAGTTAAGTGGATTGTTTCGTGATATCACACGGTGAAACAGCAGATAATATTTACAAGACTACATTTCGGACACAATTCATTGTCAGTAGTGACATGAAGATAACTCCACAACTTTGAGATATGGTTTATACAGTTCCAGTTCCCTTATCTCTCAGTGATACAGTGAGTAAGATTTTCATATCTCCATAACATATAATAAAATATTCCTGTTGCATAAAGTAGGTGTTGATTCGATAAACACTGATTCAGATTCAGATTCACTCCTTCCACCCTGCCATGTTAGTTTTAAGGATTTTCACCTTATCCCATTCTATTGTGCGGTCGTGTCCAATCACATTCACAGCTATGACTGAGCTCTTTTCTAAATTACTTACCTTAATAGGATATACCAGTTTCAACCTAGCTACGTTTTTGTGCTTGGATGGCCTAGCAAACCCTGGTTGACAACTTTGACCGGTGTATTTGATCTCACAACCGCTTCAAGGGATTTAGTAAACTAGGTTATCATGCCTAATTGGATTAATAGAATCATTTGAGCTAAAAAGCTTACTTCGAATTGAGTTTATACGTTTAAATGCCGCTCTAGGCGTGGCCAGCCTTATTGGGAATCCTACGTACTGTCTCTTAAGTGCCTTCCTTGTATAACAATACCGTACAGATTTGAAGTTCTATCTTCCCAGTACTTCTACTATTATCATTACTACTATCAAAAGCCACGTTACTAATATTCATCATACTTTTATTATGATTACTAAGAAACCTTCTAATCAGGAGGTTGTCTTTATGCATCTGATCTCATGATTTAGACCCTCTACACACTTAAATGCCATCAAAAAATCTGTTCTAACCCAATAAACTAAGAATTCCATCGATTCAAATTGATTTTCAGTTGTAAGGAATTAAGTTTCACCTAGAAAACAGATTGCTCTTCTCCGGAAAAGGTACTCTCATTTGTTAATAAGATATTTTAAAAGCTTAGCTGTAAAATTTTCCAGCATTAAGCAACTCACAAACCTGACTTATCTCATTTGACAACCTAAGTTTAAAAGTCCAATTATTATACTCTTCGATTTTGTAAAAGAATTTTTAATTTAGGTATTTGTAGGAATTTAGTTATTTTTCAGGTTGGTATTCATCATGTACTGACATCGTTTGGAGAAAAATTGGGAAATTAGGAGCACTGGACAGCTGCTTCGTCCTAGTATGAGACTCCTCAGTGGTGAGCTAACTTGACCTTGCCAGGCAACCAACTCAACACCTTCAAGTTCCATGGCCAACACTTTACCATCAAGCCATTAGGTCAGAATCCAATGGTTCATATTCCCAACTTCTGTGCAACCATAACCCAGTGTCATAGTTGAGTATTTGTTCTCATGGCCACTGGCTTTACTGGCCACGAAGTCTGAAGGTCGTGGGTTCGACCCCTGGTGCTGTAAGGTCATGGGTATGCACTGCTGAGGAGTCCCACACTGGGACGAAACAGCTGCCCAGTGCCCCCAGGCTTCCACTATTCTGTCAAATCATGTAACTCCATGATAAATACCAACTTGAAATCAATGTTTGTAATGTAGCAGTTCTTCAGAATACAAAATACACAATTAACCAAAAGATAAACTTCACTCCTGAGGAGTGTGAAGATTTATTCAGTCAAAGTTGGTATTCACCAATGAATGACATTGGTTTGAGAACTATTGCAAACCTTGGTTTCGCGGACAGCTTTTTTGTACTCGGTTCCACCCTCGGTGGTGTCATAAGTGCCTACTGATGAAGAGTCTCATTTCAGAACGAAACACTAGTTGAATAGTTTCAGATTCTTAATCGCTCTACGAACGATGTCATCACAAGATGAGTACCACCTTAAAATAACTGAGAAGTTAGTTTTTGCTTTTCAATGGAGATTGATAATTGACTGACTACTGTTTACAATTTTACTCCAGTATTTTATATTTCTGTTTACATCATTGAATGGAAAACAAGGCAAGACTGTTTTAGTTATAAAGTGAGGAAATTTGCAAGCCAGTTAAATTACAGTTATCAATCACTAGTATAACAGTGTTGTTTAAATTGTAGAACAGTTTGTTGGTGTGTACTTTGGCTAGCAATTCCTAAATCATAGTCGAAATCTAAATGAGTAGTAATGACGACAAAATCATGCGCTACATATGCCAGAAAATGCCGGTTATACTTGTCAACTTGTCACTCACTTTAACAGTAAATATATATAATCAGCTTGAGTGTGTATTGATGAAAGAAAATCCCCATGAAGACACTTAGTCAACTTTCTTGTTACTACGATTTCAAGTTGATATTCATCATGAATTGAAATCAGTTGAAGAACCATTGGAAAATTGGGAGTACTGGACAAATGTTTTGTCGAAGTATGGAACTCCTCTGTAGTGCAAACTTAGGACGAGCACGTTACCACTGAGCCACTGTGTAGGTGTTCAGTGATTCACATTTCCTACTTCTACCTGTTTACGGTATACTATGAGCTCTATATAATGCTATCCCAGAGTAATAACCATGTCCAACTAAGGAATACTGAACAGTATAGTTAGTGCCTCCATTCAGTTTTCATTTAACGATATATTCTATATAATAGCCTTTAGTAGATACTAAACATCATATCACTCCAACTAGATATTCTGTTAAAGCCTTATAAAGTGGAAATAACAAATCCTAGAAAGTATACTGGTAATAACGAATTCAGCTGAAATTAGCTTATACGTTTTTCAACTGAAGGTGACCTGTAGGTCAAGGCTGAACTAGACTTCTATGACCGATAACTCCATCGTCTAAATACAATAAATTCACTTTATCACGCGATTACTGAAAGAGTCGGAAGTAGAAAAAAAAGATAATAATCGCAACAGTCGTAGCAGTATGCTTTATACAGTATGGAATTCTTAGTAAGTTCACTACCAGATTAATATATTCAAACGAAATAATTATTGCTTCCAAGTTATAGCCCTATTAAAGATGATTATGTTGAACAG